GCCACAGCTACTGTAAGTGTATGGCTACCAGAGACACCGTAGAGAAATGTGGTGTCTTACCTTGGTTACATCTTAAATGTAGCGCTAATTGGTGAAGTCAATAGGTATTAATGTCTGCACTGTAATATAATTTATTTTTTATGTCTCTTTGTTCCTGTCCTCCTCACCCAAATGACATATCAGTGGCTTTGTCAGCTTTTGAATTTGTCCCAGGCAGAAGTTCTATATAAAGATCAAAAGCGTCTTCCACTAGTTGATGTGCAGATGGGCCTCAGATGCCTGTAGGTAGAAGACACATGGCTACAGCATCATTAAGTGGAAATGTTTTATGTTTAGATCATGTGTCATGGTAAATTGCCAGATCTGTTGCTTTTTCATATGGTTTCCCCCCACGCCACCACCCATTCACTGGAATGAACATGTGGTCATGGGTTTCTGCTCATCATTACAACATCCCATTTAAGGGAACTGCAGCTACTGTATATTGAGGTCGATTTCACAATGGCAGCATTAGTGTTTTTGAAACTTCCTTTGAGAAATTTGTTTTGTGTTTATTTTGTATACAGAATAGCCTTTACTGGGTGTATCATATATCATATTTATAGTTATCCTAGTGACAGAATAACTCTGGGAGAGTAACTGTCTGAATAGCATAGTTTCCCTCCATTGTTTGTAGTGTAAAGCCCAACCTCCAGCAAGGAGTAAGACCAAAGAAACAATAGATAGTAGGAGCATTTTTAGCGGATGACTAACTGTTAAAGCACGGGGAAAACCAAACATGAGCTTTTTGTGTCGTCAGACTTTTCAGTAAGAAAGTAACCTGTTGATCAGTCTGAAACCTGCTTGGATTACACATGACTGTAGCAACGTCACTCAGCGTAGAAAAGCTTGTGAATACATGTTAAAATGTTTTGGTAGCACTACAATACAAATCTGAGCACAAGTTGTCAGAGAGTGGACAAAGTGGAGAAGGAAGCATCAGCAGCCACATGCAGGAAGAGAAAGAGGAATGAAGGCCTGAAGCCAGAAAGTGCTGCAGCTCTCAGGAGTGAGGTATCCAGCCTTCTCACTGCTCGGATTAATGAGGTCATCCATCATGATGCCTGTCCATCCATGCTAGGCAACGAGTCCTCTTCTTTACTGCCCACCCTCCATCTACTGTATATTACCTGCCAGGTGCACGTATAGCCCTAGTGGGCCAACCACCCGAGGCTCTGTCAGCCACCCTCAGTGCATCTGCAGCTAGCCTTCCTCCTGAAGAGTAGCGCATAGCAGTAGAGTACATGCAGTACCCGGAAAACCAGCCAGCTCCTGTCCATAATGGTGGGACTTGATGTGGTTTCCTGCTCTGTCATTTCAGCTTGGTTCAGTTTCAGCCAGAGATCTTGAAGAATGTGGGTTTTGGCATGCACTCAGATTAGAACTGGCCCTGGATAGAGAAGATTTCAAGAATGTACAAAAATGTCACAAGACTATCTCAGAAATGTTTTATTCATAAATAATTTTTCTAAAGAACCTGATATGGTACAGTCATGTGCACTTTGTAGATAAGGTGTCCAGTCTTTGTCTTGTCTTCTACAGAAGTGAACAGGGAGGCTTTAAACAAGGCAGGTCCAATATAGAAAAGGCTGTGGCCAGGTTACTGTTTTATTTGACAATGAGAAATAACCTCTCTGGCAAGCCTCTGCATTTTTGAAGTAGAAGAATGATCTGAGAAAGCTCAAAAATAGTGCGGCCCCACCCGAACCAAGCTGTTTCACTTTACTTACAGCTCCAACATTTTGTTTGATTTTAAGGCTCACCTGCAACAACCGGGTCTTTGTTGTCAGTCCATTTCTCTGCATGACAGGAGACCATTTACCAAGTGATTATACTAAATGATGGCATGGAAAACTTCACTGGGCTCGGGTTTCTCTGCAGAACATAATCCAGTAGATTGCAGCTCCCCAGACAGAGGAAAAAAGAGTAACTGTTATACCTGTAACCCCAGTCTTTCTGACCTGGAGAAGAGACATCAGCTTGTCCTCCTGTTTGTCTTGCCCTGCCCAGTGGAGAGAATAGTGGCCTGGAGAGGAAACATCAGCAACAGGCTTGTCATGGGTTTTGTGATTGAGTAATAAGTGTTACTTTCTCTCAAAGCACCAGGCAGGAAGCCGATCTCGCGAGGTGCATTGCAAAGTTATGGATGTGGGTGTGTTCCCTCTTTAGATCTTTAAATAAAAACAGAATAAATCATGGTAGTCTGAAGAATTCAGCCCCAAATCAGAGCTGGGTATGCAAACACAGTGGGAAACTGTCACATGCTTTGAATATTTACCATATGACATCTCAACCTGAAAAATGCACCTTGAGAGTAAGATAAGACGCTGTGGGGACTTAGTCAGGCTGAATAGTTTAAATGTTGTAGTCTTGTCTCACTAAACTCCTGCTTTAAGGTGGATTTTCTCTGACTGTGAGATTGACCATGAACAGATAACATACTCTGTCAAGGGAAGGCTAATCCTCCAGCCTGGATAATCACCAAACAGAATTCAATCACCTCCCCTTCCTTCCAGGGATATCTGCTTCTCAAGGACTGCCTAGGAAGACCCGTCTTTCTCACACAGGAGCCAACCGTGAGTTGTAGCTTCTCTGTGCACTCGTTACTAATTATCATACCATGGAGAGATGACTGACATTCTGAGTGCTCCTCATAGTGAGAAATGAGTTGGTGGCTGTCACGGCCATATTTGCATCTGAGTAATGACTATGCCAACAGATTCAGCTAAACTCCTCCATGAGACACAAGTTGCAGACCCATTGCAGTTCAGCTGCCATGTCCATTTTGGAGGAGGATGAGAGAGAAAGAGGGAAAAATAGACTTCCAAGGCGCATGGCTGTCTGTCGAACACTGGTGGTTTACCTTGGCCTGTGGCCAAATATTTTTTGCAACCCTTTGATCAGCAGGCTAGCAGAAAATCACAACAATAGTTGCATTAATGCTGCAGCATTATGTTTTGTTAGCTGTGTAAGTCTGTCTGTGTGGGTTTAATCTGACAAGCAAGTTGACAGCGAACATAATGGAACTATTACGCTGTAATGGACTGTAAATGACAGTCACTCAGGGGCCACATGCAAGTAAGAATGAAATGTGTGGGGCAGGAAAAAGCCTAAAACAGAGCTGGAGAAACTCGGCATGGGAAAAATGGAGTTGTTTCGTTAGCTTCCACTCGTCTCCTCTTCATTCTCTCGAGGCAGAGCAACAGCATTCAGGGCAAACGAAGCCAAAGCTTAAGCAGTCAAACAGTGTTTAGCATGGTTAAAAATGAGGTTCCCCTGCTGACTACGTTCAGTTCAGTCTCAGTCTGGTCTGCCACCCTAAAGTGGCTGCTTCCTCCCTTCCCAGATCTGCTCCATATCAGGAGCCCTGCTGTTTGAACTCATGGTGAAATTAATTAAATATCGGGTTCTAGCCTGCGGCAAGCGAGGGGGTTGTTGTTCCAGCAGCCAGTTGAACACAAGCTGAGGTACTAGTGTCACATTTGCATTTCCCTAATGTCTGTATTAAGTTCACAAGAGAACTGAAGTCTGTGATAATTCATGAGTAGATTTTCAGGCAGATGACTCACAAAAAGTATATGCAATTAAAATGGGGTAGAGCGAGCTTTAAAAGGTCACTTTGTTTGTTGGCCCTCATGCACCTCTCTGTTTCCCAACCAGCTTTAGACCAGTATGTTCTGCTAATCTGGCATCACAGTCCAGCCAATGTCACTGGAGGTCAAATAACATTAAATAAAATAATAATTGTTGTACAAAGCCAAAACCTTTCAGACTGACAGAAAATGAAAGTTAAAACCCTCCTATAACAACTTGCAATGCACACTAAACATCCTGTCTCGTTTTCCTGCACTCTTAACATTTTCACTGTGGCTAAAATGTCAGCATATGATAAAGTAACTCTTCCGGTGTCTTTCTGTGAACCTGTGAATTGAGGAACATCTGTCTGTGTGACCTGGAGCATGTTTAAATATTAACACATTGGTGATGACTTCTGCTGCCCTCAGCCTGCGGTTTTCCTTCCATCTCTGCTGAAACTCACTGAGAGAAAGGCGGAAGCACTAACCACTTGGGCTAAAGCAGACGCCTAGAGTGTGTTAAAATGACAGTGTGAAACAGATGTGGTCACTTACAGCTGCAAACCTTTTTTATGGTGTTTGATCTATAACAAAAAAAGTGAGGCTGTGACTGCTCAAAGCCATTGATGTGACTTAAAACACTTGTGAAGCGTTTTAAATAAATGAACCTCAGAAACAGAAGAAATGTAATACCTTTCAAATTCATTTGATTTTGTAGCACATCAAAAATTAAAGAGACACCCTGCTATGCAAATGTACACATTTGTACTTTGTAAGAAGTCTCATTTTTTTGTCCATTCCTCTTGTCTGCACAGTGAAAGACTGCTTTAAAAATAACTGGAATAAAACAAGTGGGATACTCGTAGATCATTTGAAGTTAAATGATATCTGAGTTCAGTTTCCTATGGGGATTTAAACAAATGACAGGAATGGACCACTGTGTCCAGAGAAGTGAGGTTAGATAGTGGGACAGTAAAGCGAAGGCCTGGTGGTAACAGGGCTCCGGCTACAGGCCGACTGTCTGATGCTGGAGTTTACTGTGCATCCTGTGGTCCGCAGACCACAATGGCTCCAAGCAGACCGACTTTTATCCACAAAGAAGGATTACGTTAGATTTTAACTGTAGAATTTAAGGATTATTTTTAAGACTGCAAGCTTCCTCATTCTACACCACAATTATTTCTTTTTTAAAATGGCTTTGTGAACTGTTTAGAGGAAGGGTGTTGCAGCTTCCCGTTTATTATGTATTGAAGAGAAATATGTGAATGCCCATGTTTGAATCAAATAAGAGGCCCTTAGCAGCACAAATCATATTTATAGCTGCAAACAACACCCTTGATTGATTGAGACTCATTAATGTCATCCACTCCTTTTCTCTTTGTGTAGCTGGCAGGCCTGGGGTGGGACAGAGAGCATGGCTGAAACACGGCGGGAGAGCACCAGTAGCCTGCAGAGGAAGAAACCTCCCTGGCTCAGACTGGACATTCCTACGGCTCAGATGTCAGTGGACGAGCCTCCCACTTTTGTTCAGGTGCTCTTTCTCACTGGATCCCCTTCTCATTTTTTTTTCATGACTTGTGTTTTCAATTTTCTCATGGTTCTGTGTCATTTCCTGTGTAGCCAGTGAAGAGGCAGGGGTTCCTGCGCAGCATCAGCATGCCAGTGGAGACTTCTCACCTCCAGTCTCCACCCCGCGACCTCTTTGACACCCGGCGGCCTGTCTTGCAACGCCAGTCATCAATCACTCAGACAATAAAGAGGTAAAAGCAGCTAGCAATATACTGGATTGATTAAATATATTGACATCTTGATATATGTGGGTTGTAGCATGAAGTCATTCAGCATGCATCAAGATTACAATATGAAGAGCTTCACATCTCTTGCAGTGTAGCCTGTTGTGTTATGTACATGTTATTTTCATCAATGTGCTTCTTGCAGATTATAGAATGAAATGCTATGCAATATAAGAACAACATGCCTACATGCAATTCATGAGTTAAATTGAGGGTATAGGCAACCTGTGTCCCATGCATGTAAAAAATATCTTTTCCATATATCTGTACTTTCCTTGCCTCATTTCATACTGCATGGCTGTTTTTTTATTAACAACCACAGTGTCTTCTGGCTTGGTGTAACACTCCTTCCTATTGTTGCAAATCTCAATGAAAAACAAGTTTTAACCTAACAGTCTGCTTCGCTCTCTCTGCATGGTGGCTGTCCAGCTGCAGCTTTCCTTCTCACTACCGGTTGTTGTCTTTTCTCTTTCCTCCTTCGTGCCTCTGTCCCTTCTCGCCACCTTCCGACACCTGCCTGTGTCACAGCAGCAGAAAGGTGCACTTTGAGCGGATTAACACGGTGCCTGTTAAGGGCCAGCGAGCTGCTCGCCGCAGCACCAGGAAGCACCACTCACTCTCCAGAACCCTGCTCAGGTATGGCAGGAAGTCCCTTATAAGACTGCAGGTGTTAGGGGTCAGGATGAAGGTCTGGTGTGTACTCACTTGTTTACTATGACAAAATAAGTGAGTATACTGTGTGCACTGTATATTTAGCTTCCAGTATTAATTTTGACCTGATTTTGGTAATGTTGCTTTAAATATTTTATTTCTACACATGCTGACAGTGTCACATGTGGGACTCTTATCACAACATGTACAAGAACTGTTGTTTCATCTGTGGGTGATGTCACTGCCACAACGGTTTCATTTGAAATTAGTCATAACAGCACCCAAAACTAAAAGCTACCATTTCCTGTTGCAAATTCCTCTAATGATCCAGGCTAGCAGTGGGGTTGGGGGTGGGGGGGTCACTTTTGTCAAACAGCATCTGACTCAAGAAGTCGCTGTGTCTGAGCACTACTTGTTAGTGATCCAGCATTTTATGGCTGACATGACCACGTTTCACAGCCTCTTTAGTGGAGACTGATTAGATAAAGCTGGGTCGTGATGATGTTCAACCATGCTCACAAACTAAGGTTAGTGGGGCAAAGAAACGCACACATATGCTAGAATAATAGCTGTTTAAACATGCCACTGGCACACATTTTGAAAACAGAGGACTGGACAACCAGTGAAAATTATTCATTGTGAGAAAGATTGAGCTGAATTAATGAGAAATAGATTTTAAACTAACTTCACTGAACATTACACTCTGCAACTCGTCATTAGTGAAGAAACAGCCAGTTTGCCTGAACCTTTGAAGAATGTTTCCACTTCCTGCCCTCGGAGTGTAGTAACATTGTTTTCTCTGGTACTTATTAGGTTTCACCTTCACCAACGTGATTGCATGTGTATTCATCACGGTTTAGTGGAATGAGGGGGTAGGACACAAATAAAACCTAGTTCTCTGTGTAGATTTGGTGTCTGTGTCAGTTAAGATTAGGAAAATCTGAATATGTTGGATTTTATTTGCAGCATCAGAGCTCCTCCTCCTCTCACCCTTTTTTTTTTTTTCTAAACATGTAGACTCGGGCAGAGTATGTGACTTTGAACCACACATACAGTGTGTGTGTGTGTGTGTGTGTCTCTGTGTGTGTGTGTGTGTGTGTGTGTGTGTGTGTACCTGGCTGCCTGTCTTTCCCTCTGTGTCTGGACATTTATATGCCCAGGCTTGTTCCCTCCACTGCCTCTAGTACTTGCACTATCTAGGGCACAGTTTTACATCCCTTCCCTGGAGGTACGGACTTATCAGTCTCATGCATATACAGAGTGCCTCTATATTTTATTTTTATTTTATTTTATTTTTTTTTTGAAGTTTCACCATGCCATATAGGATTACTGTGTGCGTGAGTTTATGTGACCCAAATCTGAAAGGTCAGTGTTTGTGGTGTTAGGGGGACGGCGGACTGGTTTGGGGTCAGTAAGGATGGTGACGCCACCCAGAAATGGCAGAGGAAAAGTCTGCGCCACTGTAGCTTGCGCTATGGAAAGCTGAAACCACAGGTGATCCGAGAGATGGATCTGCCCAGCCAGGACAACATCTCCCTAACCAGCACTGAGACCCCGCCTCCTCTTTATGTCCCCACGTCACAGCATGGCATGCAAAAGGTGAAAGAATATATGGGTTACTTTTTTAAATATGTTGGTAATGTTATTCATTCTTATTTGAAGGTTTTTTTTTGGAATATACAATACGACATACAGATTGTGGACAGTCAGGCACTTTAACCTGCAACCCCTTTTTTAAAATGAATGTCTGAGGTGAAATGTGTTTGGCTCTTTTTAATTACCACTTGTTGGACCCACTGATTTGCAGATTGTGGACCCACTGGCACGAGGACGAGCTTTTCGTATGGTGGAGGAGGTGGATGGCTATAGCATGCCTCAGACCCCCATCACTCCAGGAGCTGCCTCCCTTTGCTCCTTCACCAGCTCCCGCTCAGGTCTCAACCGACTGCCTCGCCGACGTAAGAGAGAGTCTGTGGCAAAAATGAGCTTCAGGGCTGCAGCAGCACTGGTCAAGGTGAGTGAGAGAGATGAGAACCAGTGAACCAATTCAGGATGTGCTGTTCTTTTCAAAAATTACATAGAAACAAAGAGAAAATGAGGGAAGCAAAGCACTTGTTGTGTACATGCCCCTTTCTGTACTTCATTGGACTTTAGTTGTACTGTATTAGGCCACTCTGTAACTCGCTGTAATTGAAAAATTGAATGCATATATGTTTATGTTTGTGTGTATTTGCTTGTCAGGGGCGCTCATTAAGGGAGAGCACTCTGAGACGGGCTCAAAGACGAAGCTTTACTCCTGCCAGCTTCATGGAGGAAGATGTGGTCGACTTTCCTGATGAACTGGACACATCTTTCTTTGCCAGAGTATGACAAAAAAACCAACATTACTTTGCTATTATTACTGTGTAGCCATGTTCATTTGTAACCAAATAATTCTCTTTTAAAAACCCAGGGGATTGTTTTTTTGCACCTCTACTGACTATTGTCTTTTCCAAAATGTTCTTTCTAGGATATTCTGATGCATGAGGAGATGTCCACATATGCAGATGAAGTGTTTGAGTCGCTGTCTGAGGTGGCCATGAAAGAGGCAGAGCCCAGCAGTAAGAAGGATGAGACAGAGCTGACAGGCAGCGCCCTAGATAAAACCGAGCTGGAGAGAAGTCACCTCCTGCTGTGAGTTACTGTAGACCTGTGGCCACAGCATTAGTCACTCAGTCTGTGCAGTGATTATTAACAAAGATCCATGATACTGGAAAGCAGTTTTTGCAAATACGTCAAGTCATCAGTACCCAGATTATTCATTACATGACGAAGAATGTCTTATTTCTTCATTGTTAAACGTCTTAAACCTCTTCATGTCTGTCTCCTCTTTCAGACCATTGGAGCGAGGGTGGCGTAAAGCCAAAGAAGGAACTCCAGGACCACCAAAGGTGCCCTTGCGGCAGGAGGTAGTGAGTGTTAACGGACAGCGTCGTGGGCAGCGCATTGTTGTACCTGTCAAGAAGCTTTTTGCTCGAGAGAAGAGGCCCTATGGGTTGGGTATGGTAGGGAAGCTCACAAACCGCACCTACCGTAAGCGCATTGACAGCTACGTGAAGAGACAAATAGAGGACATGGATGACCACAGGTACTGGACCATTCCACATATCACTTTCTCTCTGCTCCACTCAGTGGATGACACTGATGGATAATTAGCACAGCTGCTTTTTTAATACAGCACATATTTTCTATTTCTAGGCCTTTTTTTACATACTGGATCACCTTTGTCCATTTGCTCATCACCATCTTGGCTGTATGCATCTATGGTATTGCACCAGTGGGCTTCTCCCAGCATGAGACGGTTGATTCTGTGGGTCCCAGCTCAGTTTTTTGACACATCATCGCAGTGTTTTCACCTCATTATGACTCCTCTCATGTGTATTCTTTGAAATTTGGATGTCTTCCAATATAGGTTTTAAGAAACAAAGCTGTGTATGAAAATGTCAAATTTGTACAGCAGGAGAACTTCTGGATCGGGCCGAGTTCGGTGAGCCTGTGTCCTGTGTTTATTAGTGCTACAGATAAAAAGAACAAAAGCAAAAATCATCTGTGAAAGTCTGTACATGAATACTGACTTTTATTTTATCTGTCCATTGTTAGGAAGCTCTGATCCACTTGGGGGCCAAATATTCTCCATGCATGCGGCAGGACAAGCAAGTGCATGACCTTATCAGGGAAAAGAGAGCTGTTGAACGTAACTCTGCCTGCTGCGTGCGGAACGATCGCTCTGGCTGCGTCCAAACCTCAGAGGAGGAATGCTCGGTCTGTAATCAAACCCAGATATTTGTGATGTGATTCATAACTTTAATAATCTAACTACAGGTCAAAGATATGGCAACTTTAATCACACGTCTTTGCGGTTTCATTTTCAGAGTACTTTAGCTGTGTGGGTAAAGTGGCCCGGGCATTCCAGCACTCCCCAGTTAAATGGTGAAAACCGAAACTATGGCTCGGTTTGCCATCAGGATCCCAGGTAAGACACACTAGTATGTCTTCCCTTTAGAGCTTCCAGCAAATAAAGTAAGTGATGCTGGCTGGTAATGTGCAAACTGTTTGTCTCATTACAGGACATGTCTAGAGCCTGCCTCAGTATCACCTCATGAATGGCCTGATGACATCACCAAGTGGCCAGTGAGTACAGCCAAACCCTGTTTGTATTAAAACATTATACCACAGGTGATCACGCACACACTGTCTGGCCTTCAAAAGACTTAAAAGAATCAATTATTTTAGTTTCAGATGATTAGAAAAAATTACAGAAGCATTGGTGCTGGCAGGGTCGGTCTTTCCTGGCAAATATATTGCATGCAGCTTACCATTTGGGTAACATTACCAGCAGCATATTTCAGTCTTTTTTTTCCTCAGTCCAATCCAGTGGTAGGTTTGTAACAACAAAGAAGGGCTAGTCTTACTGTTATTTAAAGCCTAACCTAAGTTTTAAAATGCCGCGATGCTGATTGTGCAGAATTCTGCAATTCAAAGCACTATTTTGCTTTGAATAAAACCTTTTGGTTGGATCATGAAGCAGCATAAATTCTTAGGCAGACTTCAGTATTTTAACTCAAAATGTGACCTCTTGGACTTTTTTCTTGATGATCGAACCTGGAAGGTGTATCACGTTTTGTCACTGTGTTGAGATGTCACATTGTGCTGACTTTCTAACAGGTCTAACAGTAAAGACTTTAAAATCCCATAGCTGCTATTTCAGGCTTCCCATTGGGATTATATTTGGAAAAAGTTCTGTTTAGACTGAAATAGCTGACTGTTGTCCTTCTGCTCTGGCTTTTAGATCTGTACCAGGTACAACACAGGGAACCACACCAACCTGCCTCATATAGATTGTACTATCACAGGCCGGCCGTGCTGCATTGGAACAAAAGGGAGGTGAGGAGAGCTGGTGAACCTATGAGGAATCTTGTACTAGGCTGAAACGTAATGGATGACTAATTTACTAGATTACTAATTGCTGCTTGTACTCTTCAAGGTGTGAGATCACTTCCCGGGAATATTGCGACTTCATGAAGGGCTACTTTCATGAGGAGGCTACTCTCTGCTCTCAAGTACACAGCTCTCTCCTTATCAGACAGAAATGAGACTGGTTTCTCACAGGAAAAAGGAGTTGACACAAAACTTCTGTTGCTATTTATATTGTGTACTGTTTGCATACTTCCTGTGAGACCCACCGAACAGATCCGTGTAGGAGTCTGTCCTCATTTCCATGTTATTTGTGATCATTAGTTTTCACATATGTAATATATGTCATCTTTGTTTCCTTCCTCAACTGATATTGCTGTAGTTGTAAGATCCGGTACTTAATATGATTTGGTCTGTCCTTTCTTAGGTGCACTGCATGGATCATGTATGTGGCCTGTTGCCTTTCCTCAACCCAGAGATCCCAGATCAGTTTTACAGGCTCTGGCTCTCACTTTTTCTGCATGCAGGGTGAGTACAGTGATAGTTATCAAGATCTTCAAAAGTAATTTTGTTTAATCAGAGATTTCCATAGCAAAAGGAAAAGACCAAAAAGAGAGGAAATGTATTTTCCAAAGATACATAAAGGCAGAGGACAAACACACTACCAAAAGGGTTGCATATAGTGGCTTTACATGTATAAAAATAGGTTATTGGTTTCTAATTGTATGAAAAAATTAAAAAAAAAGTACAAGAATGCACAACAATGTCAAAATAACGTTTGGTAGTTCAATAAAAAAATGTGGTCAGCAATTCTGTACTATATACATGTGAATCATTTTATCAGGAGAACCAACAGTGGTTGCAGTTGTACTGTGTGCTAATACCTAGAGGTGCCCAACAAAACTCACATATGGCCACACATTATATACTATAGATACCAGACCAACAGCACAGCTTTGGTGCAGTATAGACCTGTCAGTCAGTCGGCACAAAGAGCTGACCTCACGCACAGGAGGAGCAGTGCTTCATCTTTATGCTGTCTGTTATCTGCCTCCTGGGTAATTAAAGTGCCCTTGCTACACGAACTCATTAAGCTTCAATGAGATGGAGACCGATTTTGTTGATGGGTAGAGTCATCCCTGGTCGGCGCGTGAGGGGTTTACCTTCTCTAACACAGAGGGATTACCTTCCCAGCACGTGTGGATTTTCTCATACACACACACACATACATACATACCCAAATGTCACATTGCACATGCATGAGCACTATGTCCACGTGTGTCCTACCAGGATCCTTCACTGCCTGGTGTCGGTGGCTTTCCAGATGACCATCCTGAGGGACCTGGAGAAACTGGCGGGTTGGCTGCGCATCTCAATCATTTACATCCTCAGTGGCATCACTGGCAACTTAGCTTCAGCAATCTTCCTGCCCTACAGAGCAGAGGTGACACACACACACACACGATGCAAAGAATTTCTAAATCCTGTTATGTTTGTAAATGTTTTGCGTGTTTTCTCGGTCTCACTTCTCCCACTGTTGTCTCTGTCTCAGGTGGGTCCAGCTGGCTCTCAGTTTGGAATTCTGGCCTGTCTGTTCGTCGAGTTGTTTCAGAGTTGGCAGATCCTGGCCCAGCCCTGGAGGGCCTTTACCAAGCTGCTGTGTGTTGTGCTCTTCCTCTTTGCCTTTGGGCTGTTGCCCTGGATTGACAATTTTGCCCACATTTGTGGCTTCATCTCTGGCTTCTTCCTGTCCTTCGCCTTCCTACCATACATCAGCTTCGGCCGCATGGACCTGTACCGCAAACGCTGCCAGATTATTGTCTTTCTGCTGGTGTTTGTCGGGCTCTTTTCAGGCCTTGTCGTGCTCCTCTATGTCTACCCAATCAAGTGTGAATGGTGTGAGTTGCTCACCTGCATCCCTTTCACGGACAAATTTTGCGAGAAGTATGACCTCAACGCTCACCTTCACTGAAGTGTGGACAGCGTGAGCACGACAGGAAGGCATCAGGTCAAAAGACGTGGACGAACAGATGACATCAGCCAGTCTGTCTCTCCACTTGACCTCTGTGTGGCTGGGGGGCTGTCACCCCCTCTCTGTGAACTAGGACAATATTTCTGTGTTGTGTTTTCTACTCTGTCAGTATGAATACGTTTGCCACTCATCATAAGTACTTCTTTTAATCACTTTTAATTCACTGACAGTCAATGTCCCTCCTTCACTGCCCAGTGAAACAAAGGTATGGCACTTCTTAACCTCAACAAAGTTCCCAGCTGCTCTTTACACATGAGGCAGGAATTGTACAGAGAGAGGGAACTTTGTTTTTTACCTTCACACTCCAGACATAGGTTTTCTCATTGTTCAGTCCATCTTATACTGAAGGTGGGACAAAAAAAAATCTAATACTGATACCTTTGGTGCCTTGTTGATAAATGTACCAACTACTGCCATATTTTTGTTACATTATGCTGAGCACTCGAATGTTTTCTTTTATTTGTTTATTGCTTCTGAAGAAGTGATGGTTGTTTTGAACACGGTAGCGTTTTAGCTACTTTTACTCATCTGTAAGTGAAAACCGAAGTAAAAAAAATACAAGTTAAAATTGTCTGTGACTTTCTGTCAATTACCAGAAAAGGCCTTTTGAAGATTATAATGGTTTATTCAAATTAATCAACTTAGAAACAGACATTCTGCTATAAATTCTCAATCGACCATTCAAAGTTATTGGGGGCCACTTTGATTAAATTAGACTGTGGATTTTTTTAATGGTTTTTAGAAAAACAAATGTAATGAAAAAACAAAAATAAGACACTGCTTGTAATGGAATGAGTATAATTTGATAAGCTAAAAAACCAACCACAAAGCCACTGGTTCCTTTTCTTTGCAAGTCCACTCTTGGTCCCGTTTGTCCTCGGACAGCCCTCACTGGGATAATGTTGTGTACTGGGATAATGTGAAGTGCTGACATTAGGAGACCCAGTAAAGCTCATGTTCACACTGGCCCTGCAGCTCCATCTGTCTGCTGTGTTTCTTTAATCCCCCCAGTCCATGTTAGAGGTGAATAAGAGGGAGAAGAGCTGAGTCGAGGTTTGATGACTAGCAGCCACTGTTCCTCCTTGCGTACGCCTGCCCACAGAGCATGTACTCCATCTCTTGGAAGTGCATGTTGGACACAGTGATGGCTGATGGCCCTTTCTCCTTGAAGTCAGCCTTAAGGTAGAAGGGCACCAGGAAGTCTTCACAAATCAACAGAGCTCGGCGGATGCCTGGCATACAGCGCAGGTACTGCAGATAGCGCCACAAGAGGACGGAGCCCTTGCCTTGCTGGCGACAGTGATGGTGCACTGACAGCACATGGATGTGCACAGTGGGAGTGTCTGGGACATGCTGAGTCATGGCCTCCTAGCAGAGTGAGATTAATTATGTTAAAACACGGAGTCACTGAAATCCTAGTCAGTTTGGCATATTGTATTCTTTACAGATTTTCTGTATACCTGTATTTTATTGTATACCTGTGAAAGCCTCTCCTTATCCCAGCCAGAGCCGATGATGAAAGCTACGAGCTGCCCCTCCTCAAACCAACCCATTGACAGCTCAGGACACTGACCCAGGAAGTTAAGCACCTCGTCCAGGGTAAGTGGACACTCTCCAGACACGGAGACGAATGCTGAGGGATGGGAATGGGGATGAAAAGAAGCTGTTCATACAGTGGGTCATGAGGATGATGAAGGGATTAATGAAATGTATTCTCTTTCAAGATAAAACTGGCACTAAATACAGCACATGAGCATCTCAGATTTGATACATTTATTCTTTTGCCATATTTCCATTATGAAAAACTTAAGCCAAGTTCAGATGATCTCAAATAGATTGTGGAAACAGACATCAGCTGTGAAATTGTAGAGATATTTTTTGTGACTTACCTTCCCTCTCAATCTCAAACACACTGATGGCATCCAGTGGCGTAAGGTTCCTGAACTCACTGGCGGGAAGTGTGTGTCGTCTCTGCGGCGGAGGACGGACCACTCTGACAGGCGTCTTCAGAAAGAAGGGCTTGAGGAATGATGAGCTGCTGACCTGCTGCGTCATGATGCCTCAGTATTACAAAGCAGGAGGTTCTGATTACTTTGCAGTGTTTATCTGCTTTTGTCTTTTCAATCCTTATGTAGTATAATTTTCATACTGATGATTTTAATGGTGCAGCCAAGTGAAATCAAAACCTGCCAAGAAAATGTTCTTCGTCGTCCGTTTGTCCCACAGCCTAATTTGAGTGGGGCTGACCTTTTGTCTCTCCGGCTTTATCCTCCTCTTCCTCTTCTTTTTCCTTGATCTCTAATGTAAAGTGGTCATGTGATAGCTGTCTGTGCACGTGCCTCCAAAGTACCTAGATCCTCTGCTCTTAAATGACAAACACTTTGTTCTTGAGGTATTTCCTGAGTGAATTATGTTTGGGGTCTTTTTTTAAAACAGCTAAACTGAGAAATGAACAACTTTGTAGCTGCACATTTGAATTAGACAATTTTTATTTACTATCACCTCCAGATAGTTAGAACTTCATTTGTATATGTTTGATACCTTAAAGAAAATTCTTGGTATTTTCAGTTATTCACTTTGCAGCATCTTTTTGTGATGATAAGATTTCATGCCAGGTCAGACTAATCGTACAACTTCAACAGAGAAAACGTGGTGTTCACATCTGATAGTGCGAGGTAGGTTTTGTATTTACCTAACACATATATTGACACATGCATTGAACATCCAGGTGTGTGGTTTTCAGGGTAGGGATTAGCAGTGATGCACGTTTTTGTAAATTCAGGGCATATGGGCTAATTTGAGCTGTACTGAGAGAAGGGGGGATTTGTGTGGATTTCATGCCTCAGAGGTTTATCACATACTAATTAAATGAGAGAGCACCTGCTTTGACTGGCCTGAGGTAAACCCATGTACCCAGACTGTGCATACAATATAGTAGGGTTTTAAAAGGACCGTTAACATTCACTCTAAGTGAAAGTTGTTTTTACTAAAAGATAATCTGAGCAATTATATCAGAATTTCTTACCTAAAGGAAAATAATGCCTTGTCCTTAATTCCTACTTCATTAAATTTGCACGAGTCAAAAAATTCAGAAAATTCTAGTTTCCAAACATTTTAACTTTAAACAGTTTTCTTAGTTTAATTAACTTGTTGAGCAACTTTTACTCATCATGCATCTGAATGCTTACATGAGCTGTTCTTGAACTGATCTTAGTGTATTTATTGCTCTGCAGCCACAAACGCAGTCTGCGGGCTTTGGCTTAGCCCTAATATTGTAGGTCAAACCAAAATAGAACTGTTTTAAGGATTATTGCTTTGCCCCACTGCTTTCTTTTGGCCTTCCATACAGTGATGAATGGGGAATCTCCTTTATGCCATCTGGACAGCTGGTCAGCGGCAGATACGAGGACATCTCTGCACGTGAGATCATCCAGTGTTAGAGGTGAGCACATACACAGTTGTCCAGAGATTAAATGACCTTTTCTGACCTACAACTTTGTCAGTCTGTGGGGGGGGGAGATTCTTCATGGCCTCTTCAAACAGCCTGTTAAAGCCAACTGAATGACAGACATGTTTTAGCTTTTCAGGCAAAGTAATAAATTTAAGAAGAGTTTAGAAGAGGAGACAGGACTTTGGCAGTTGAGCCTGAGAGGACAGCATGTGATGATAGAAGATAAAACCCTGTAACCTCACCCACTGACCTTCTCCAGCAGAAAGCGTCAGACCCTAAATCTCATTCACAGCATGTGTTTATACACTTGCCTGTGTATTGTTGTATTGTTTTTAAAGGCAAGCTTGAGGTTGCAGTGTAACTGAATCCTCATTAAACTTTAAACTGCCTGTTGATCCAGATAGGCAGAAAGCAGCAGGTAACCACTGCTGCAGACAAATGCCATTATGTTTGAAACATCCACCTAAAGTGCCAGATACATAGGAGGAAATAAATATCTTCATCTATTTAAAAAGATATTGTAATCGACAAAAAAAAATAACAAAGCAAGAAAGTCTCACAACTTTACATTAAAGGCCCAATGCTAATTTAAGTTACAGGTCGGCCCCCAAAGATATAGACAGTTATGTTCTCTCGGCTAATCCTAATCGCATATATACAGCCATTTTATTTACAAATATTTCTAAAGTAAACAAGCAGCATCAAAAACACTAGTAATCAAAAACCAATTTATTTTTAATTTGTTGTCTTATAAAGAAAAATGTATTTGGTGAAAGCGGATTACAGTCTTGTTTTGGATTTTCATTATGGGGTGCAAAATATTTACATTTGGAATGAAGATTGTGCCTTTATTAGCTATATTCAATTTTATTAGGATTTAAAAGGAATTCCAATTACCACTTCTTAAATGAATGCCTGTTTAGAGACAGACTACAAATTAACTTAGGCCAACAATGCTCTATTGTGTGGCCTCACTCTGTTAAATGTATTTTTGCTAATTATCTGTTCCTAATAATAATAAACAAATGTGTTAGTGTAGATATAAACAAAAGTTGTGCAACTGTATTTATATGTGTGTGGGTATTAGCATTCACTTGGGTTTGAGTTGGCGCTAATAATTTGTTGACAGTGCAGGTTGTACTGTTTCATCCTTTAGCTTCCAGATGTTTGAGTTTTCTTTTACACACATTATGTATTTAGTACAACTTATCTGCAGCAGAAAACAATGCCTTAGTGTGTTTTTAGACAGACAGGACCAAACAGAACTATTAATGTGAAGGTCGCTGGCCTTTCAGGTAGAAGATTAAATGCTAGCCTTCATGGTTTTACAGCTGTCCACGGTCCACTCACTTACCGTGTACAATAAAATTCATGTTTTGTTGCCTACTTTAACCAGATAGAAGATTCCTTGTCAGGCTTACAGGTTTTGATAGATTTGGATTTCTGTGCAGTTTCCAAGTTGAAATGATAAACCTGTGTAGTGCTGTTTAGCACATATTACACCTACCTCTCCCCATGAAGCCGGACTAGTCACGGGTAGAAGGAAACTACTGCAACATAATGTAATTTGCAGAAAAATGAACAAGAAATAGTGCGAGTCAGAAAACAAGTGATAGTCTGTTCTTTATTGTTATACACATGCTGCTATAAACAAGGAGACGAGTACTGATTTTACAGAGTCACACACCACCTACTGTGGAGTTATCCTGGATACCAGGTCAATAGTGGTCAGAACAGAAACAGGAAGGCACGGTGTTGAGCTGAAATGGCACAGAAGAGAACAGGCAAAGACAAAATAACCACATTACATAAAACAGGGAGAGGTTTAGAGCCTCAACAAATCCACATGCAAATTCTAGCCCAATTATCAAAATGCATTGTCTGTTTTCCTCCTGCTCAAATGTACATTAAGAGAATCCACATGAACCTAAATGCAAAGATAAAATGTATAATTGACAGATGGACATAACATAGGAAAATGAACTTCAATTTAATTTTGCTCAATACCAATAATGAGATGCACTTTTGAAATAGAAAAAGGGGCTCTGTACCTCAGCATCAACAATCCTATGGACTGAAAACTGTTGTGTACTGTAGCATTTAGATGAACACTAATGTCTGATGCAACGAGCAGGCGGCCATATCAATTCAAGGCACATAGATCTATATGCATGGTGCTACACATACAGGACCAAGGTAGGTAAAAGCGTTGCAGCCACACAAACACCTGATCCCTTGTTTGCAGCTACATTACATAAGCAAACACCGGAAATGCCACAAAAAGTCTACGTAGAGATCTGCCACACATACGACTGCGCCATACTGAGTCAGCATATATGTAGCTGGAGCATCTATGCTTGTTGCAGGCTTTAGCTATCTTTGAGTTCAGCTGTTAGGATGTGAATCTGTAGCTAATATTGGTTACTAAACTCTTAAATAATGTTAAATGAATTCTATTACTGCAGTATCAGGATTTTTTTCTATATAATATGCAGGTATACAACTTTGGAAGAAGCTACACAGGATTCCAGTACAGTTATATTACATATATATCACATCATTTGAAATGATAAAAAACTGACATGTAGAGGAGTTCAACTAATCTCTTTATAAACTCTTGTTATATGGAATTAATTATACACGTGTTGTCAGAGTGCAAAATCACTTCAAATGGACACAGATGCACAATAAGTAATGCTTTCAGATTTCTGTTAATAACCCAAAATCAGTTTACCTGGAAAAACAAGTTCTCCTGTCACTGATGAGTACAAGATGTAGATATAAACATGTAGAAATCTTTTGATTTTAGTGTCAAAGCGAATCGATAGAGTTATTTTAAAGTGAATGTGCTTAAACACACCACCATGACAGGTAGTGAAACATCTCTGGAATCCACACTACTGGACCACAACTCTGGTCAAGACGCACACACCTGAACACCAGATACTTAATAAAAAGTTTTCAAAGCAATATTTTTTTTTTTTTTTTTTTTT